ATTTATCATTTTGTGAGGACATACATCTGTGGTCATCATGGAGAAATATTGCATCATGGGGACAAAATAATGAAGACTTCACTGCTACATTTACTGTATTCCTAGTCCATCTGATAACAGAATCTGTGGTCATGTTGTTTTAAAGTGTGCTTGCACAGGACTATTAAGGATTCAGAGAACCCAGACTCCCCCCCCCGCCGTGAGGTCATGCATTACCAAGTATGACAGACGTATACACTAAGACAGGTTGTTTACATTAGTGCCCTACTCCACTGTTGTGCAGACTTGCAGGTAAAAGTGGTCCCATCTGACCATTCTGCCAATGTGTCACCCACATCTGAACAGAGAAAAAACTTCACATGTGGTCCTTAACAGGACACGTACCTAATGTTTTTCACTGCGCCCTCATGATGAGTGGCCGTGCATGCATTTCAGCCAACCTTTATGTCAGTCCAGTGGGACAGATGTCCGAACTCTGTGCCAGAGTAGGCGGGACTCAAGATCAATTGTAGCAAAGAGAAGAAACAAACACAGCAGACACAGTTGACAGAGTTCATCAGGGAAGATAACAGTATTGTTGCTTATCAGACCTTGGGTGGTAAAAAGGAAAACTGCCATAGCAGGTTCCCATCCCCGGAGGTTTGCTCTTAGAGGAACAAAGGCTACAGCCCAATGAAATGGATTGATGAAGGTGGAACAAAAACGTCAGAACTGAAACACAGATCGTCGATGACCATCTGTTAGTATGTTTCCTTCACCATTGTTCCAGACTACTTGTTAAACTGCTGGTCCGATTTGTCAGTGAGCCCCGGCCATGTTAGATGAATTGTCTTTTCTACAAAATTCACAAAAAGTAAAAGTAATTGCAGAGCTCAAACAATAGAGCTAATCGCTAATGCTGACCTGGGTTTATCATCAAAATTAATCCAGACTAAAAAAAATTGGAATTCATCGTTCCTTCTGTCTGACATACCGAGGATTTGTTTTTTTATATGTGTGCTTTTCCTCCTTTTGTTGAGAGCCACTGTTTTTGTTTGCGTGGGCAGTTGAAGAGCAGGTCAATGTTTGCTCAGCATGTGCGTTATTGGATTCTATTGACTTAATCGAGCAAGGCATAAATGTGGAAATATGAACCTTTCTCCCCACCATTATACTGCTCTTTCCTTAAAGCCAATTCAGCTGTGCAGGAGCACTCACTGGAACAATGGTGCAGTGAGGGCAGTGGACACAGAAAGGCCAGGATAAACCTGACGGAGAGCAGGGAATTGGCTGTGCCATCCAGGTCATGGTTGGCAGGGTCAGAGCGACAGAGTGGGGTCGGGACGCAGTGGTGTCTGACATTTCCATCAGACAACTCGGTCAGACAAAAGGGAAAAAAATAAACCAATAAATAAATAAAGGTGTCACGTGACACAGATGGACACAAGGCAGCCTGAAGGATGAAACGAGAGGTGATGAGGCCTGACTGTATCTTAGTCCTAAAACATACATCAACATAATGGGAAAGAGGGCGGCCCCAATAGATTCAAATGGAATTCTTAAACAAGACCTTGGTACAAAGGAGATTTATCCTAGGTCCAAACCAGTTGCATCATCAACTAGATGAGTGGTTGGTTAGATTAGATTCTAGATCTGGATCAATGCAGATCTATCTGGGATTGAATTCCAAAGTATTCTTTCCTGAATGTACTAATCATGGTGGAGTGAAGGATCTGACCACCAACTACTGAAAATGTACAGAAGCTGAAATTCTAGTTTACCAACGGTCCCCCCAGTGGGAATTAATTGTTCCAAAACCTTCCAGGCCTTGACTGCTATCTGGAAGCTTAGTCCCGCAGATTAAAAAAAAAAAGGTCTTTTTTTTTTTGCTTTTTGTGCTGAATGCAGGATGAAAAAGAAAAGAGTGGAAAAGTAATGGACATAATTACAATAATCAGTCCTGGGTGATAGGGTGCAATGGTTCATGGGTACATTGATCAGCAACAAAGGAGCAATCAGGCCAGTCATGTCTGCAGAGTGTGCACATATGACGGGATCAGTCCAGCTTTTAAAAAAGATGAAAATGAAAACACAATGCCTTGAATCCCAAAGCTGCATTTGTCTGTAATTATCACTTTCCTAAAGTGGAGGCAGTGAAGGGTTGGTCTTTTTGGTTGGTATTTAGTTACTGAAGACTTAATTAAGTGGGGTTTTTTTTCATTGAAGAGGAAACATCGGAGAAGTGGGAAAATGTAGAGATGAATCAGGAGGTGACGACACTAAAGGGCTCAAACACAGATAACATTTCCTCTGGTCCTTCCTTTACCGTTGTCTAGTCTCTGCTGGGATTCATAGTGCTGTGAACATTCTAGCCTATGAAGAACGGCGTCTTTACTGAGAACAAAACTACATATATCACTATATTATTAAAGGGGTTCTTGTCAGCTATGTTTACGACTTTATATGGCATATTTATGCGCAACGTTCTCACCACTTTGTCCACTTACAGTACGCACACACACACTCGTAGGAGATTCTGTGTTTGGGGTTGGGTAAATTTAACCATCTGTTCTGACAGGTTGGCTCCGCTGCAGTATATGAGTTTCACTGTTTGTTTGGCTTTGATCAAAACCCTGTGCTACGTTCAAGTGCTGTCAGCAGTAAAGGGGGAGATCAATGAGCCAGGATGTGAAAAACATTGGGATTATTGATCTCTGCTCCAGTCTCGCCACAGTCATTACCTTTTCACAAAT